TTCTGACTTTAAAACTTACTATAAAGCCACAGTAATCAAAATCATGTGGTACTAACATAAAGACAGTTATACAGACCAATAGAATAGAGTTCAGGAATAAACATTCTCCTATAAGATCAAATGATTTTCAACAAAGATGACAACACCACCCAAATGGGGAAGAACAGACTTTTCAACAAAAGGCACTGGGAAAACTTAGTATATACACACAAAAGATTGACATTACACCCTATCTTTTAACATATTCAAAAATTAACTGAACATTGATTAAAGAGCTAAACATATGAGCTAAAACTATAAAAACTCTTGGGAGAAAACATAGGGAGAAAGCTTTATTACACTGGGTTTGGCAAGGATTCCTTGGATATGAACAAAGGAATGACCAACAAACAAAAATAAATAAATTAGACTTAATCAAAATTAAAATTTGTGTGCATCAAAGGACATCAACAAAGTACAAATACAACTCATAGAAAGGGGAAAATATTTGCACATTATTTTTATTTGATAACATATTAAGGTTAACATTGTATTTTTAAAAGCTCCTACAGTTTGACAGCAACAACACACATACACACACACAAAACAATCCCAAAGTGAGCAAGGTGCAGGGCATGGGCTGGGTGGAGGAGAGCAAAGGAGGAAAGTGGGGACAACTAGAACTGAACAACAATAAAATACTTAATGAAAAAGAGTGAGCAAGGACTTGAAATGGATTTTCTCCCAATATATATACAAATGTGTAATAAGCATATGAATAGATACCTAACATCATTAATCATTAAGGAAATGCAAATCAAAACCATAAACAGATACCTTCCATATCCAATAAGATGGCTATTATTTTTTAAAAAACAGAAAACTAGTTCTAGTGAGGAGGTAGAGCAATAGAATCTCTTGTACATTGCTGTGGGGAATGTAAAATGGCACAGCTGCTATGAAAAACAGAATGGCAGTTCCTCAGATAACTAAACATAAAGTTACCATTTGATCCAACAATTCCTCTCTGGCTATATAATCAAATGAATTGAAAGCAGAAAATTGAACACATATTTGTAGAGCTATGCTCATAGAAGCATTATTCATAACAGTCAAAAAGTGGAAATAACCCAACTCTTCATCCACAGATGAATGAAAATTTGCTCAACATTATCAATCATTCAGTATAAATACATGTGGCATAGAATAATATTCAGCTTGAAACTGGAAGGAAATTCTGAAACATTCTACAGCATAAATAAACCCAAGGATATTATGCTAAGTAAAATAAGCCAGTCAGAAAAAGAAATAAAGAAATACTGTAGGATGTTGTTTGTGTTATCCAGAGTAGTTAGGGGCCTGGGGAGAGAGAAATAGAGACTTGTTGTTTAATGGATACAGCGTGTCAGTCTGGAATGATGAAAAACTTGGGAGATAGATGGTGGTGATGGTTGCACAGCAATGTGAATATATTGAATTTCACAAACCTGTATGCTTTAAAATAGGTAAAATGTTAAATTTTATGTTGTGTATATTTTACCACAATAAAAGTGTTCAAGTCTTTTAGTGGAAGGAGAAGACAATGTGATAGTTTCTGCATTTTATACATTAATGAACATTCAAGAAGGACTGGACATTGGAGCCTCTCCTAGTCAAAACACTCACATATCTGGGAAAGTTACTCATTAATTCATGTTTCTCAGGGACTTTACCTGGCCCATTCAACTGGCCAAAGAGTGGGCACCACATTCAGTCTAGCATGGAACAAATGACCTCAAAAACATAGTCATGGCATTTTTTACAGAGATAGAACAAAAAAAATCATCAGATTTGCATGGAACCATGAAAGATTCACAAATAATCAAAGCAATCCTGAGAAGAAAGAAAGAAGCTAGAGGTATCACTCTTCTGACTTTCAATCATATACAAAGTGACAGTAATAAAAGCCCTAACGTATTGGCAGGGGAAAAACACACACAGACCCAACAGTTGGTGGGCATCAGAGGGAAGGAGGTGAAGAGGGAAATAAAAAGGTAAAGGGGTCAATACATGGTGCTGGAAGAATTGACTTTGGGTGGTAAGCACACAATGCAATATGGATTTATACCCTTGAAACCTATATAATTTTATTAAATGTCACCCCAATAAATTTAATTTTTAAATAAAGATGATCAGGGCATAGGATCATATTGTCTAAATTGAGAGGGATTCCAGTTAAATAACTGCTGAGTAGGGAAGCTACACTTCCAAAAAAGAGATAATAAAAAGAACAATCTAGAGTTGACATTGTAAGTCATGGTACAGTCATGGAACAAGAAACCACTTTAGTTTGTGGAAACATAATGCATTTATGCAGGTGATAGAGGAGGTGAGACCATAAACAGGGGCTCATAAAGCAAACCAGGGAGAAGCAACAATCTAAAGCTGGAAAGGCAAGTCACAAGGTGATGATACAAAAGCCCAGAGGCCTGATCTTCACAGTAGAGTGTGGTATCACACAGGGCTTGTGTTTTGGGAGTTCAAGCAGTGGAGGAGTTGAAACTGCACCCAGATACAATGTGAGGCACACAGAAGTGTGGGAAACCCCAAATCGTCCTTTACTCTCCACTTGCAGTTCTCACCCAGTGCCTCCTATGTTGCCTGAACCCAGCAGGCAGCCAGCTGAACCAGAGAGGTGGCATACAGTGTTGTGGCCGCCATTCCCACTGCAATAGGGGGCAGCAGGAAAGGGAACAAAATGATCTCAGAGCCAATCAGGCAAAGGGCAGCAATATATCCACCCCAGAAACAAGTGTTAGAGACAGAGAAAAGTATCTCAGGAAAAGGGTGGGGAAAAATTCATGAGATCATTTTTAACAAGATTATTTACTTCTGATAATCACTCAAACCTATGATATCATTTTGAGTATTAATAAGGTCAGGAATATTTTGGATTAACTCTGTTTTGGGACTCTGGAGTACCGAGCTATAAAGCCCAAGCCCTGCTCTGTGAGGGAGCTTGCCCATGGTACCTACTTCCCCTAACCCAGCTACCGAGAGCCTTGCATCAGCCTAGTAATGTGATCTTTCCACCTAGGACCTTGTCTGTAATCTGGTTCCGTGGTTCCCAAGAACACAACACTCTCTGCAAAAGTCTTTACTCTTTTGACCATGAGTAATAGAAGAAATACTTATTATCCCCCTAAATAATAAATAAATGATACATTTATCATTCGTCTTACCATTCACCTATTTATTTATTCTTCCAATCACTAAACACTCTGGGATTTATTATGTTTTAATGTCATGACATTTGGTCTTTACAACTCAATAATGAATGTTTCCTCAAGGAACAAGCAATCCTATTTCCACACAATTAGAATTAGCAAGGACCTACAACCTAGATTACTCTATCTAGCAAAGCTATCATTTAGAAAGGAAGGGCAGATAAAGTGCTTCCCAGATAAGGTAAAATTAAAGGACTTCATCATTACCAAGTCCTTATTATATGAAATGTTAAAGGGACTTATCTAAAGAAAAAGAAGATCAAAACTGTAAACAATAAAACAACAACAAACTTACAACTATCAACAACTGAACCTAAAAACAAAAACAAAAACAAACTAAGCAAACAACTAGACAGGAACAGAAACATAGAAATAGAGATCACATGGAGGGTTATCAGCAGGGAGGGAGAGGGAAGAGAACAGGGGAAAAGGTACAGGGAGTAAGAAGCATAATTGGCAGGCACAAATCAGACAGGGGGAGGTTAAGAATAGTGTAGGAAATGAAGAAGCGAGAGACCTTATACGTACAACCCATGGCCATGAACTAATAATGGGGGGAGGAGTGCTGGATGGAGGGGGTGTGCAAGGCGGAGGGGGATAAGGGTGAGAAAAGAATTCGACAACTGTAATAGCATAACCAATAAAATATACTTTAAAAAAGAAGAACTAGATTGAAGATAAACTTAAAGAATTACTGTTGGTTTCTATTCTGAGCTTTAATCACTATCCACTGCAGAAATATATATTCACACCATTTCTTGCTCCCTAAAATAATGTTATTTATTTTTACTCATTTTTTAAGGTATCCACAGATTATAAACTGCATGAGGACATGATCTTTGCCTTTCTCCATATAATACAGAACAAAAGCAGGTGAAAAGTGAGAATTTAGCAAACAGAGCAAATAATTGAAACTAACTACTCTTTAGTAAATATTAGAGTGGGTGTGTGAATAACATGTTCACTATTTTTGAGAGCCTTTCATTGACTTTTGAGTGATCAATACATGTTGAGGTTTTTTTTTAATTTTTATTGAACAGAAATCAAAATAACATTTCAAGGAAATAATATACATTTACATGTTTATCCCAGCATCATTCACAATAGCCAACTTACTGAAACAAGTTAAGTGCCCAGCAACAAATGAATGGATAAAATATATATGGTATATTTACGCAATGGAATATTATTCAGCCACGAGAAAGAACATGGATGGATCTTGAGCACACTATTCTAGTGAGATAAGTCAGACAGAAAAAAAATAAGCACTGTGTGATATCACTTACATGTGGAATCTAAAGTAGTGAATGAAGCCTAGCTTTTTGCTCTTCAATTCAGGATGTCTCTCAGGATTAGAACATCCATTCAAGCTCTCAATGGGAACAGACATTTCTATAAACAGTTTGCTTTTCCATTAAACCCTATTTATTGGTCACATATTCATTACTGTATGATTTCTTTCTTAACAGGAAAGTCACTCTTTCTTTTGAACATTCAAAGTCTCAGCTGGATGGAGCACCTTAAAATCTGCACTGCAGGTGTGTTAACATCTTGACAGAGGCACAGGGACTATGGGACACAAGGTCACAGAGAGCAAACACAGAGAGCAGAAAAAGTTGTTTTGTTCTGTTAAACTTTAGATCACCTTAGAGATCTTAATCAAATATCAAAAGTCTAAAGTAACCATTGCCTTAAATATTTGATGTGTTCATAGAATTCTGGTAAAAACACTTACACATGTGTCAACCTTTTTTGCCCCAGAAGATGCCTTTGGACATCCTGTGCCTAAACATACTCCAAGGAGATATGCAGAAATATGTATAAGTAATGGTTCCTATCAGCAGATGAACTTCACTTTTATCTGCCTGTGCTGTCTGTGGGCCAAGACAGCATTTATTATCTGAACACTGTGTGCCTCTACTTTAACAGGGACACTGTGATGTCTTTCTCATATCTGGTATCACTGCCAACTTGGATCCTGATTCCAAGTGCTCAAATTGTTTAGTCATTCCCACTTCCTTCGGACACAGGTACTGAGGAAATGGGCAGAGGTATCCTGAGAGAAGGACTGGGAAAATTAGTATTATTATTTTTTGTCCTAAGGTTGCAGGGCTCTTTGTCTTGAGATCTTGTCCTATCCTCCAAAAGACAGGTTCAGAATCCCAAATTGGCTCAGATCAAGGTTAGAGATTGTGATATTTTTGTCCTGACTACCCCTCAGCATCCTGATGACACCTAGATTTCATTTGGTTGTTGTTTCCCCAACCCTATGACCCTACATATGCCTGTTGTATTCACCATTTCAGAATTCTTTCTGGTCAGGCCCAGCTTGCTGTGACTCCAACCATGCTTTGAAGTGGATGTTTTGTTCCCTTAAAATTTTTTTTGTTAAAACCCTAACCTCCAAGGTCCCCATGTGATGATATTTGGAGGTAGGTACATTGGGAGGTAATTAGGTAATAAGGGTGGGGCCCCTCATGAGTCTGATTACTGCCCTTACAGCAAGCAATCATTGGAGCTTCCCCCACTCTTTCTACCATGAGAAGACACATCAAGCGAGTGGTCCTCTTTAAATCAGGAAGAGGGCTCTTACCAGGAACCCACCCAAGCTGGCACATTGACCTCAGATGAACAGCCTCAAAACTGGGAGAAATAGAGGTTTGTTGTCTAACCCACCCAGTCTATGGCAACTTGGTATAGTAGCCTGAGCTGACTAAGACAAACCATGTTGCTCATTACTATCATTGAATGTACCTGGCTCCTGATGGCCTTCATGTGTTAGGGTTTATCACTTCCAGAACTATCAGGCCACCCAGTCCTGCAAGGGCACATGTGCCTTCTGTTCTTGCCTATAGCAGAGAGCCCACCACTGCGCTCTTAAGGATGATACAATCCCTCTCATGATTGCATATTCTCATGTTAGTAATTTGCTTCTAACACCTTAAGAGTATAATTCAAAGGCAGGAAGTAGAAGATACTCTTCTGCAATTTCCCAGGGCAACATGAAAGTTTATATCTTAGTTTTTGAGCAAATACAAGGGATTAAGAGCCAAGGCCAAAATACAAATAAGATTAGGGTGCAAATTTTGTGCTGTCACATACTCTGATCTTAGTCTTAGACCCCTCACTGTTTCTAGAAGCAGTGAGCACCTTCATCACCTAATAATCAATTCCACATTCCTTCTATTAGTAGTAATACTGTTATACTTTATATTCTTATTATTTGTTTATGAAATGGTAATACAGCTTTATTTACAAGGTTCAAGAGTTAGTGCACAAAATGAAAAGCATGTTTCTTTTCCACCCCAGTGCCACTCAGTTCTCCCCAAAATTACCAAGGACACTAGTTTCTAATCTTTCCAGAGACATTCAATGAACATATGTATGTCTGTGCACAATAATTATATTCTTTTACAGTGACACACCATGTGTTCACTTTGTGATATATTTTCAAGATTGTTCTATATTTGTAAAAACAGAGCTCAACTCTCAATTTATTTAGTGGCTACATAGTAATTAAGTATACGTACATACTAAATTTATATTACTAATTAATATAGCTGAATATTTCTGTAGTTTCCAATCTTTTCTCACTTAAAGTGATGTCTTGTTGGATTTCTTAGATACAGGGTTGGGCAAAAGTAGGTTTAAAGTTGTATCCACTTTTGAATTGCACAAAATACACTTTATTCTTGTATTATTAAATATTTATTAATTATTGTATTTGAAAGTGAATAAGATTGTAAACCTACTTTTGTTCCAATATATGTGTATATATATATATGTATGTAAATATGATTTGTACATGTATATTTCCAAGTGTAAACACACTATATCAAAGTGTACAGGCATTTATTCTATCTAATGTGGGCCAGGCATTGCTATCCTCTAGTAGGCACTTTTTATGTTAAAAATTTGACTGGATGAAAACAAAAAGCATACACACCCAAAATAGGCCAAAGAATGTATCCACACTTTATAAATTTTTTTAAAAGGAAAATTAATTTTTTTTTAGTAGTCGAACTTATACCTTTCACAATATTACCAACAAGTTTAGCAGGAGCTGACAATATTGAAGTGATCTCATTGCCAAATTTTTCTAACGCTTCTGCAACCCAGGGTGTATCATCTTTTTGAGTAGTATCAATCATATTTTTCAACTCATCTATTTCTGCATTCATTTGTTCAGCTTTCCTTTTAAATCCTTCCTTAAGAAGATCTTCTTGGACCTAAAAAATAGTGAGTAAGGAAGAACCACTTTTAAAATCCCAAATTTTCTATGAAATATATTTTATATTTAAGTACTTGTCCAAACTTTCTTTGTTTTAATACTAAAATTATTCTCTCTTACAATATCAAGGCAATTTTTGGAACAAGGAATGTGTCTTAGCTGAGACACACTCATTGAGAGGAAGCATTGTTCCCAGCCTAACTAACACTCATGTACCATTAGGGGTGTGCAAGAATGCTAAGCCTAACATGAGGACAAATGTAACATGTTCCAGACAAATAATCCCAATTGGGAGGTAGCCTTGGTTTGCTGGCACTAATTCTAGATCTCACTTGGGATAATATAGTCAACCCAAAATCTGTTATAAACATGTCCAGAAGGATAATCAGAGCATTCCCCCTATACTATATGATAACTTAAGTAGTCTATCTACATTTGGGGACAATGCAACAAGCTTAAAAGCTATTACTTCCCTGTGCTTTGAATATTGGACTTTTTCAATAGTTTTATGTAAGCATAGACCTGTCTCAAGGGCTTTGGATATTAGTAAGGTTCCTGATAATTTCCAGTGATATTAATAAAATAAAACAGTTACTGCTCATATGATATATATATGATTGGAATATCTGTTTAATCAGGCCTTATGAGATCATTGAAAAATTGCCCAAAACAGCAGCTCAAACTCTACTTATATTCTGCAAGGACTGGAAGGCACATGTTTGTCCTGACTTCTCCAGAGTTTACTTACAGAGTAGATACAAAAGCTTTGAGGAAGAAAGAAGAGAGATGGGGAGGACAAGGAGGAGTGGGAGGAAGAAGTAGGAAGAAGCGGAAAAGGAAGAGGATGAACAAGAGAAAGAAGTTGTCAAGGATTCACAGTTTTCATAAATCACAACAAGTAAATGTGCTTTCCTCCATGGTCTTGCTGTAACCTTCTCCACCCCACCTGAGGCCCAGGACAATGACATTCCAGCACTACTGAGGCCATGGCAGGACTTACCTTCAGTTTATGCTCCAGCATCATAGTCTGCTCTTTTATCATGTTCTCACTGTCTTGCTTCAGTTTCTCCTTCAGTTGAGATATGTGTTCCTCATGACTCCTCTTCTGAGCCTCCATCTGTTGCTCCTGCTCCTGCAGTTTCTGTTTCATCAGCTCCTGCTCCTTCTCAGCAGCCTCCTTCCTGGCCCGCTCCTCTGCCCCAGGGAGGTTTGAGAGAGGCAAGAAAAGTAAATGAGGTCTGATCTCTACCCTCCTGAGCTCAGAGACCAAACCATACTGGAGGGTGTGTGAAAAATCTCTGAACTCCCCCTTAGTCCACACTATCAAGAACAGATTTCAGTATGTGAGGGGAAACACCCTGACTGGCTGATGTCCCCTTGTTGTTTTCAGATTTTGGAGAATCTGTTCCACAAAAGAAAAAGAGCTCCTTGTTTTGGGAAGGTATTGTTTTCACACCTACCAAGGAACTGTAGGAACCTGCCCTGCCCCATACCTGCCATGGCATTCTCCCCAGCTGTGAGTGCTTTGTCTGCCTGCAGAATGGATTTCTCTATTGCCATCTGTGACTGCAGGAAGCTCTGGAGGACCTCGTTTGCCTAGGAAACAAGAAGGAGCAAAGGACTTCGAAACTTCGATACCCACTGGGAAGAATAATGCAACAAGAACAAGTAAGTCCATGGACTTTTTTCTTCATGATTAAAACTGGATCATGGCTCCACACACAGTGTCCAGGATCCTTAGAGTGACCGGAGGTTCTCCACACCCCCTGCCTCCTCTTTCCCTCCTGTCTCCCTCCTGTCTCATTCCCAGGGCTCCTTCCTTCCCACACTCCAGGTTCCAGCCAGTGAGAACCATGATCAGTTCTACAGACCCACTGTCTCTGGTGCTTTTTTATTTATATTTGCTTCCCCAGGGTGAAATGTCTCTAGTTAACACCGCTCCTCCCCTCTGCCACTTGCTGACTATAATTTTAGGCAAGTCATTTTAACCTGTCTCTGCCTCTCAGTTCAGATGTGTAAAATGTTCACAAAAAAGTGTAGATGCTTTTTAATACTACTTGATGAATTAAATTAAAATATTTAGAAAAACAGCATAAAGATATGCCTATGATGCTAACAATTAAAAACATATTAGTGTATCATTATTATCATTATTATTTTTTTAATATTTTATGTGTTACTACCACCTATGTAGCCAATTTTCTCAGGTTCATAAGTATTATAGCCCAATATGCAATTGTCTACATGGTTGACTTCCTTTTCTCTTTGAATCAGCTTTGAATACAGAGACTCTGACTTGTAAATTGTCTGCCCTTTGCACACTGAATGTCATGTTGTTGGATGAAGAAATGATTATTTCTCTTCTGTCTATTATGGATATCAGAAATCCATGTTCATTTCTAAGATTGGACTTTCTACTCTCCTCTGGAAGAAATACCAAATAATGGACCCTAAAAGCTAAAGCTATGATATCCCGGTTCTCTCATATTACCCACAACAGGTACTGTGCTCTCAGACTTTCAGGAGACCCTCCTGACTTTAATCTGTAGGATCTCCATGCTCCCATATTCCTCACCTTCACTCCTTTCCTGGGCACTTTGCAATAATCAGCTTCAATCCTTTCCTTTGTTTCCAAGTAGAGCTTGTGACCCCCAGGAACAGAGAAAGTTCCTGCTGAAATACTTTCCATGAGGGCCACTGAAAGTTGATCAATTTTAGCCTGGCAGTACTTAACAGATTCCTCTTCATTCTGCAGCATGAAATTGTCCTTCTTATCCTTTATGATTTTCTACAAGGGAAGTATAGAGGGATGTCACCAGAAGAAACGAACAAAGGAGATAAAATTCCAAAGAACCTGGCAGAAGGAAGTCTAGCTCTGGTTCTTAAGAGAGAAGCATTCTATTAGAGAAGAACATGGAATAAGAGACTTCCAGCCAAGATGGAGGCGTAGGAATACACTTTGCCTCCTCACACAACCAAAAGAAGGGCAACAAATTTAAAAACAAAAAATAACCAGAACTGCCAGAAAATCAAACCGTATGGATGTTCGACAACCAAGGAGTTGAAGAAGAAATATTCATCCAGACAAGTAGGAGGGGAAGAGAAGGGCAGCCATGGTGGTGAGGTCTTGTGATCAGGTGGATGCTGGAGGACTGGGCAAGTACCAAGTAATAAGCACTAAGACAAATACCACAAGCTTCTTCTGGAACTCCTGGTTGTCATCCCTGAAGGAGTTCTCCATGAAGACCTCAATGGCTCCTTTCTCACAGACTGCGTGCAACTCCAGCAGCTCCTGGAGCGTGTCTGTGGGGAACTTCACTTGCTGGGCCATCTGCTCACTGTAGTGGTCGGCTGCCTTCTGCACGGCCACTGAGTTCTCAATCTGGGCCAGAGTTGTCACTGCGTTCTCCAAACAAGGCACTGCTCCACTGTTGATGGCATCCACATAACTCACTGCCAAAGTTTTTAGCCCTAATAAGCCAGAAAATTTAAGGGGGAAAAATTAAGTTATCACTCAACAAGCTGAAATATATGAAACTACATTTCTGACTCACACACACACAACCGCTCTACCTCCTTCTACTGTTATCACCTTCATTGTCCCACTGACTCTTCATTTTTATGGTTCTTTCAGCCACAGAGCTGAAAAAAACTTGATGTCTACCATCATCTAACTCATTAAAAGTTATCTGAAGAAGCATAACTTCTTATTTAAAAATTTGAAGTGTAAATGTTTACATAAATAGACAAATGAGGCTGGGTAAATCAGATATATTTACTCCTAATTCTGCAGTTTCCAATGGATTTTCAAGGATTTATGTGCTGATTGTTATTCTTGGACTGCTCCAAATTTCCAAAATATCTTTGTATTTTCCTTACAAATTGCACTTATTAAATAGGACTTACCCTGAGAAAATAGTATGTTCTTTTTTTAAAGATTTTCTTTATTTTATTTTTGGACATAGGACAAGGGAGGGAGAAAAAGAGAGGGAGGGAAACATCAATGTCTGGTTGCTTCTTGTGTGCCCCCTACAGGGGACCTGGCCTGCAACCCAGCCATGTGCCCTGACTGGGAATCAAACCAGTAATACTTTGGTTCACAGTCTGGCACTCAATCCACTGAGCCATACCAGCCAGGTAAATATGTTCTTTGTTTTTATATCTAATCAGAAATTTTTTATCTGTAGAGGATTTTTTCAGATATGCAGAAACCACAGATATTACTGATAAAGTTTGTAGTTTTTGGTAAGAATTTGTATACTCCTAAAACTATGATTACTGTAAAATACACACATTTCCTCATGGAGTATGAATATCTTTAGACCCAAAATTCTTTATAGAATCAAATAAAAATCTAGAAAACACACCATACAATTTATTTAACATATACTGAGCCCTTTAGTATGTGAAAAGGAGACTCACTTTTCCCAGTAACTTTGGCTCCCTCTCTGAGGATCTTGGTCCTCGCCTGGGTGAAGATGTAAGAAGAGAAATTCTTTGTTTGTTCCTGGAATTTAGGATCCAGTTGGTTTTCTGGAACATTCTCAATATTGGCTAGCAGTTTGTTGTCATTTATTGGCCGGTGAAAGACAAAACACTTCCGTTTTGGAAAGAAATGCCGGATGCACTCTCTGGGAAGATTGGCTTTTTGGGTTTTTCGACCCATGCCTGAGGAAAAAAAGACCCAGAGATTACAGTAGGAACAGTCTTTAACAAGGAACATAAAGGTTTTCATGAAAATGATTTGTGTCTCTTTGTCATCTTCTGTGTTTATAATTCCTTTATCATAGACACACAATGCTTCTTTAATCTTCAAACTTATCAATGATACAAACTGGGGAGAAACTTGGGGTAAGGTCTAACGTAGGTGGGGGGAAGAAAAAGGCCTATTGCTGCCATCTCCAGACCTAAACAGGATATAGATTTACTGAATGAATGAGTATTGGAATGAAAGGTCAAATGTAATTTTTTGTCTACTTGATCCCATGTAGAAATTGAGCTGTGCAACCAAAAGGAAGAGAAACAAAAAAGGCATAAAGAACAACATTGGGAATGATACCCTGATTATGTAAGGAAAACTATTTTGATGCTAAAAATAATGTGTACAGACTGGCTGGGTATCTCAGTTGTTTGTAGTGTTGTCCTGTACACCAAAAGGTGGAAGGTTTGACTCCCAGTCAGAGCAAATACCTGGGTTTTGTATCCTTGGTTGGGACACATACAGGGGGCAACCAATCCATATTTCTCTCTCACATAGATCTTTCTCTCTCTCTTTCTCTCTCACTTTCTCTCTCTTTTTCTCTTCCCCCCACCATCCTCCTCTAAAAATTCAGTAAAGATATCATCTGGCATGGATGATAATAATGTATACACTGTTAGCTCTTTTGTAGCAGAAACCAAAAGAGTATATGTGACTAAAATTTTGTTTTAGATGTCACCACTAATCTATAAACTCTTTAATATAAAAAAAATATATTTGATTTGACAATGTTGCTCTTCTGCCTAGCAAAATTCTCATTAAATGTTTTAAGAAAACATAAATAGAAGTATGAAGACAAGAATGGGTAAATCAGAAATCATATTTCTCTTAAGGTTTCATCAGGTTATACTCACATAATGTAAGCCATTAAAATAACTTCCTGTTTTAAAATTGTAGCATGGATAAATGTGGGAATTTTTTAAAAGCTATGATGTAAGTCTTTTACCCACCTTGAATATTTTTGTGTGTATGGTGTAATTTGGTGCTTGACTTTTATTTTTCTACCCTTTGTGACAGCATGGATGGAACTGGAGAGCATTATGCTAAGTGAAATAAGCTAGGTGGTGAGGGACAAATACCATATGATCTCACCTTTAACTGGAACCTAATCAACAAACAAACACACCAGCAAAATATAACCAGAGGCATTGAAATTAAGAAAGATCTGACAGTAATCAGAGGGGAGGTGGGAAGAGATAATGGGGGGAAGAGTTTTCAGGAACAACTGCAAGGACACATGGACAAAACCAAGTGGGGAGGGAAGCAAGGGAGGGAAAAGGGGATGGCTGGTGTGGGAGGGAGTGGTGGGGGGTAAATGCAGAAAACTGTAATTGAACAATAATAAAATAATGTAAAAAACATAAAATAATAATTAAAATTAAAAACAGCTATTATACAGAAAATAAAATGAATGTTCTGATAACAGTCATATGACAGTAGCATAGATTGCAATAATGTATACTTCAGGTTTTTTAGAATATAAAGTCAATTTTTGTAGATGATATAGCTATACAGTTAAATGGAAATTATATCCTTATTTCAGAAAAGTAATCTAATTGCATGAATTTTTTTTCCATTAATAGGTTTTCCATTGTAATTCCAGGTGTAACAAATATCTGGTCAGTTGTTTTGCTGAAAACAAAAAAGAAGAAGCCAAAATAAAGTAAAAACACAAGTATCTAGTCTTCAGAACATTTTAGCACCACTGTATTCTAGGTTACAATTGGATGCTAAATTATAATGTATAAAAAAACATTGGTTTTGAGTAATTATACTCTACTTTAAGCTCTACTTTTCTTAAGTGAACTTAACCTCCAGTCCCTAGGGCTTTTCAACCCATCTCCCAGCCACCATTTCTACAGATTTCACCTAGTCTAAAACACAAGTGCAACTCCAGAGATGACAAACAAGTTTAGCACGCAACCCCCACCCCCCCCACCCCGCAAACCCTGTACTGGACCATCCACTGCCCAGTCATGCTCTCCCACCTGGAATCAGCTTCAAGGCATTCTCCAGGTACTCATCTTCTGTAATGGGGTGACCATTTAACTTCAGCTCCAGGGTGAAATCCCGTACAGTCCAGACGAAGTCTGGAAAGAAACTCACAAACTCCATGGAATCATTTCCTCCATCTGGTGTAGGGGAGGACTTTGCCCTGATGAGTTCTGTCAGCTCTGTCACATAACTAGCACCTGGTTAAGGAAAAGAAACTTGTACCCACAATTCCCACATTTCTCTAAAAGAAAACATATATGGCAAAACTCTTTTGCTCTGGTTCCTTCTGGTCCACCAAAGGCAACTAAGTGAAAGAGAAGGAGAAGCTGACTGGATCTCCATTCCCACAGACCCCAGGACCCATGGTGGAGTGGTCCCTGGAAGGATACTGCAGCTGCTCCAGGGCCTGGTGGTTGATGGTGCCCATGCTGTTGTAGACAAACATGCTGCTCAGAAGCACGGCCAGGGCAAAGATCCACGAGTCATTCTTAGGGTCACCCTAGGGAGGACATTAGGGCCAGACAGCTAGGAGTTTACATGTGGAAATTCATTCAGACACTAAGTCTACTAGTCTTTCATTATTATTGCAGCTAACATACTCACCACAGAAAGAAGTAAGTTTGAAAACAGACACAGATGGAGCTATCAGCTTTGACAATTACAACGGCATTTCTTATGACTGATTTTTTCATAGATAAATGGATTCTTGTCTCTACAAGTCTTCTTTAAATTTAATTGGATGAAATAAAATAACACATATAGAAAAACTAATGGATTATCTGGAGTGCAATTAGGTACTCAGTGGTAGGTATTGGCACATATCTATTCTATATGTATTTCTTGGTGTTAGGCCATATATAACACACAATAATTGATATAACCAGGGATTCAAATTGTGTCCAATTAAATTCAACAAACGTTCACAGGAAGGTACTCAATGTTTCCCACTGTTTTTAAGTTTCAAATGTCGATTATTTCTTTTATGATGACTGTTTCAAAATGGTGACAAATATCCACAACAATGAATGCAACAAGGATGACAATATCTATCTATAAGAGGCTTGCATCTTTATAATGTATATAAGCAGTGAAACCTATAGCTATCATATTAAACTGAAATTCAGATATCCATCAAGGAAGAATAGAGGTCTGAAAGCTGGAAATGAGTGCCTAATATGAAGTCATCATCAAAGTCTTGATCTGAGTGCTTAAGAATTATTGAAATGTGGACTTAAAGAAATAAAAGTAATCCCATAGATAGAAAGACTCATGGAAGTGAAATTAGAAATGCCAGAAACATGTGTTTTTGCGTTATTTGATTTGACAGGACCAGAAGTTAGGTGCAGAAATTAAGGCTGGATAGTGAGCCTAGTGAAGCCAGACAGAGGGTCTTCAAGGCCAGGCTATTTTTTTGCACAAATTATAATAATGTCATATAATGGCATAATCCAGAAATTATTTCTGTTATAAATACTATCAAAAGACATTCCCCAGAGTAAATGTAAAAACTGGGTTTCATACCTAAAAGACTCAATACAGAAGTTTGGAAGAAAAATAACTTGCTAATTAATGTATTTCCCTGACCACCATCTGTCAAAAATAATCAATTAAGAGAAGATGAAATGGCACTGGTAACAAACAGTATAGTATTTAGATAACAAGACTATATAGCTTTGTATAATGTATAACTTTAAAAATGAACACAGAATTTCTAACTCCTCTTTCAGTAGAAAAAGACCAGTATAGAAATGTAGATACTATTTCCCATAAGTCTAAAAGGAGGCCAAAAATGAAGAAATCATTCATTTCAACTCTTAGTATAAAACTACAACATCAAAAATCCATCTTAAAATATTTGTTGTAGGACAAACACACGCTTTTACAGAACCGGCTCATTCAGAAGCATGTCAAAGCCTTGAAAAATGTTCCATGAGTACTTGAGGAACTTCACCATGGGACTGCAGAGTTTTTGAGGGCAGGACTTATATTTTCATCAGTAATATTTACAGTACTGATCCCAGATACCTAGAATTCAAGTGTTTAAGAATGTTTATTAAATTGCATCAAATCATTTACCCACTGCCAAGAAATAATGAAAAAAATTGACCCAGTATATGTGATACCTTACCTAGAAATGAAAGTCAAACAAATAAATATTTGTCTTGTTTACTATAGCTGGATTTCTAGATTTCACAAATAAGTCACAGCAGTTAAATTACCAAATATCATATAGAAATGAGGAGAAAATAAGATCAAAAAGGGTAAAATCTGTGACTCTCTGACTTACCTTTTCTACATCTCCCAGGCCCTCGGTATCCAGAAGGACCAGAGTGTGGTTAGGCTTGGAGGGGTGGGGCACACACCACATCCAGATGCCCTTGGTTTCAGACTGCACTGTAGAACCCAGTGGGAAACCTGCAAGGGACATGAAAAAGCAACATATGTGACAGCAGATAACCTACACAGTCAAGGAGCTACACTATCAGACTTGTTAAAATGTAAGTATCTCAGCCTATAGGATGTTGCTTTCTCTATTTCTGAAGAATTTCCTACTTTGTACGTCAAGGAGAAAGGAATGTTAACTGTGAGGACGATAACAACCCAAAGATCCAGGTGGAGACAAAGAGGTATACATGAACCAGACAAAAGTGAGGCCACTGATAACCAGAACAAGAACATTTAGAAAGAATGTCGATGTTCAAAGTCAGGGGAAAAATGAATTAAAGAGAGACAGTGGAAGGGAAAAGTGGAAAAAAGGAAATAGAGAAATTGTATTTTTTTGCCATGCAAAGTGATAAAAAGGAGAGTGGGGCTAGTGGCCACAATGGAATGTGAACTCACAAAGGATTTTTAACATAACAGATATTCAAACATCTCTATGTGTTGGTGGAAATATTCTACAAAGAAAGCAAAATGTGCTGTGAGACAACAGAGACACAACTGCAAGAGCCCAGTGCTTACACAGATAAAAGAATGTAGAAACCTGAGCATTAGTAAGAAAGATTTTCCTTAATAGGAATAAAACAAGAAATATGGTAACAGGTTGCAAAGGTACCAAAGAGTAGCAAAGGTACCAAAGAGTAGCAAGATACCAAAAAGGTAGTTATTTATCTGTAAGAATTAGAATCAGAAGTGTGGATTATTGAAAGGAGTTTAGCTCTCTTTCATGTGACCAGTGAAGAAAACTAAGCAAAAGACTTGGCTTCTCCCTAAAACAACACTCACCATGGTTCTGTCCTGCAAGACAGTTCATCAAGTAGGATTTGCCTGTGCGATACAGTCCCACAATGGCCACGACCACCACTGGCTGAGAAATCTGGTCAAGAATCTGTAGAGCTTCTGTATTTACTGAGAGCTGCTCATTGATGTTCTCCACCAGACAAATGGGAGCCATCATGTTGGATCCAGACATCAGGGCAACCTGCCAACCTAGAAGAGCCTCCTGGTGGAGATAAGATTGCAAATTCATTCTCTGACTCAGAGTTATACAAAGCACTCATCAATGTAGGACTGAGTGAGACTTCTGTCCTTTCTATGGGACCAAATGTAACCTTGAACAGCAGACTATAGACGGCTTGCTCCATCATCCCCCCAAATCTCTGATAATGTTAATGATAATACACAGGGTATTGTCACTTTCCAAAGTTCCACTTCCATAACATAATAAAATTCAAACAATTATTACCATACACTGAGGGCCTACAATATACCAAGCTCTGAGATACGTACCTTACATATCCGGCCTCACTGGTACTTACAAGAACCTGAAAGTTAAAAATTATTATAACTATTTTCCAATGAGATAAATGAGTCTCACAAAGAATGAGTAGGTAAGTTACAGAGACAGGATTAAAACCTAGACAATCAAACAAAATGGCAGACTAGGAAATTTTAAGTCCTTGTTTCCCATGGAGACATCAAAAAATATCAAAAACTGACTAAATAACTTTATGGCATGTCTGAAAAACAGTCAAAAGCCTAAGGTAACCAAGTAAACACCCAATCAAAAAAAAAGCCACATTCAAAATGGTTGGAAATTCTATGATGCTTATGCGTGCCCTTCCCCCACAGACTCCCCAGTGTGGTATAGTCTTTGTCTGCAGGAGGTGACTGCCCAGTTCTCAGTTCTCTCCCTTGATCAGAGGAAATAGTGAAGACCTTACTTGCAATGTTCTAACTTGTTTGAGAGGTACCTCTTCATGTCTTTGTTTCACCTCACATGAATTTCAAAAGGGCCACAGATGAGGAGGCAGTGGCATAGCTTATATCTCAGATAGAAAAAAGTAGTGGGCATTGCTGAGAAAAACTGCAGCTAAACTGACCTACAGAAGCTTAGGCCAAGAGATTATGAGTGAAGACATACAATAGACCATCTAAGGCAACAGCTCAGTTCCCAATTCCCTCCCTCAAACTGAACGGAGCAGAGAAGAATTTGCTTACACTGTTCTGACTTAGCAGGGCTTCCCAGAAGACTTGTCACTTTTGTCTAATTTGGATCTCAGTAAGGGAACAGCAATGGGTGCCACTTGGGGAAGCTGCAGAGAAAGAGACCATCAGAAACCTGCAGCAAGTCATTGTAGATATGTGATATTGTGATTTATAATAGAAAGCATGTATTTTGTCTTCCCTCTTGTTGCTGGCACAGTTCATAAACCCTTGTAATTTTCTCAGGGATTAAAATGATGGGAGTATAATTTTTTCTAATATTTGGTCTTTTGTTCTCAAGTCTTAAAAGATGTTCAGGGATATAAAGGTGAAAAGAGACAACCATGGTACCTTGCTATTCATTGTTAATTTCTGCCAGAACTCATGCCACAATGGATAAGTACCAAGATATGACACTTTTTATATTAATTAATTAATTTGATAATTTATTTATTTAATTATAAAATATATTTTATTGATTATACTATTACAGTTGTCCCATTAGCCCCCCTTCATTCCCCTCCACTCTGCACACCCTCTCCCACCCACATTCCTCCCTTTAGTTCATGTCCATGTGTCATAACTTCTTTAGCTTCTGTGTTGCCCATACTATTCTTGCCCTCCCCATGTCTATTTTCTACCTACCCTCTATGCTACTTATTTTCCATACCTTTCCCCCTCTCTCCTCCTTTCACTTCCCTGTTGCTAACCTTCCATGTGATCTCCATTTCTGTTGTTCTGTTCCTGTTCTAGTTGTTTGCTTAGTTTGTTTTGTTTTTGTTTTTGTTTTAGGTGTGGTTGTTAATAATTGTGAGTTTGCTGTCATTTTACTATACATGTTTTTTATTTTCTTTTTCTTACCTACCTTTCGTAGATAAGTCCCTTTAACATTTCATAAAATAAGGGCTTGGTGATGATGAGCTGCTTTCACTTGACCTTATCTGAGAAGCACTTTATCTACCCTTCCATTCTAAATGAAAGCTTTGCTAGATAGAGCAGTCTTGGACATAGATCCTTGCCCTTCATGACTTGGAATACTTCTTTCCAGCCCCTTCTTGCCTGCAAGGTCTCTTTTGAGAAGTCAGCTGACAGTCTGATGGGAACTCCTTTGTAGGTAACTGTCTCCTTATCTCTTGCTGCTTCTAGGATCCTCTCCTTCATTTTTACCTTGGCTAATGTAATTATGATGTGCCTTGGTGTGCTCCTCCTTGGGTCCAAATTTTTTGGGACTCTCTGAGCTTCCTGGACTTCCTGGAAGTCTATTTCCTTTACCAAAATGGGGAAGTTCTCCTTTATTATTTGTCCAGATAACTTTTTCACTTGTTGCTCTTCCTCTTCTCTTTCTGGTACCCCTATAATTCAGATGTCAGAATGTTTAAAAATGTTCTGGAGGTTCCAAAATCTCTCCTTAATTTTTTGAATTTTTATTTCTTCATTCTTTTCTGATTGTATGCTGTTTTCTTCCTTCTGGTCCACTCCATTGATGTGAGACCCAGCTTTCATTCCATCGCTATTGGTTTCCTATGCATTTTTCTTCATTTCACTTATTGTAGCCTTCATTTTCTTCATCTAATTTGTGACCAAAATCAACCAATTCTGTGAGCATCCTGATCACCCACGCTTTGAACTGTGCATCTGATAGGTTGGCTATCTCTCAGTCACTTAAAAGTACTAGCTGTGAGGCTTTCAAATCTGTTTGAGCCATCTTTTTTTTTCTCTTTGGTCTGGTCACGCTTGTTAAGTAGAGGGACAGAGCCTTAGGTGTTCACCAGGGCAGGTCACCCCAGTCGCTGGGTTATGATGTTGTATGTGGGGCTGTGGTCCAAGAGGAAACAATGGTGTTTGCTCCACTTTCTGTCAGACCTCAGTCCCTTCCACTGCTTCCCCCCAGCAAACTGGGCCCCTCTGGTGTCAATTCCTGTGTGGGTGGGCTTGTGCACCCTGTGGGACTTTCCAATGACCTCTTCTTTGAGGCTGGGGGACTCGCCCTGTGCCTAAACCCCCACAGGTGTTTTGAATCAGTGCCCCAAGCCTCTAGTTCTCAGCACTGGGATCCTGGGTAGCGCTCAGTGCCTTGCTTCACAATTGCCTCCTCACTGGGTCTGCCAGTAGCCACCCCACGCCTGGGGTCTGCCAGCTGCCACTTTCGTGCTCAGGGTCTGCCCACTGCTGTCTTGTATGCCTTATGCGCCTGGTCCCGTTGCTCTTTGCTCTTCACACCATGACCTGTGCCTGGCTGCCCAACTTCGCCCCTCCTACCAGTCTGGATGAACGGGTCTATTTTGATTCCTTCATTGTCCAACTTCCATACAGTTCAATTTTCTGTCAGTTCTTCTTGTTATTCTGTTTCTAAATTGTTATTGTCCCTATCTTGGTTGTGTGAGGAGGCACAGTGTGTTTATCTATGCCTCCATCTTTTCTGGAAGTCATTTTTTGATATTTAAAACAAGCCCCTTTCAATCCCACTTAAATTTATGTTAATGAGGTGATTTTGGAAAGCTCCAAAATAATCACAGGATGGAGGCCAGTGTCTATGGAAGCCCAGAATGTGATTAGAGAGTTGTACTTTTAGCCTCACATACCCCATCCTCTGAGGATGCAGGAGGGGTTAGAGCCTGAGGTAATTCACCAATTGCCAATGATTTATTCAACTATGTCTATTTAATGAAACCTTCATAAGAAACCCTAACTGAAGTTGTCCAGAGAGCTTCTGGGCTGGGAAACACATGGAGATGCTCAGAGGGTGGCATGCCCAGAGACAACATAGAGCATGGAAGTTGCACACTCCTTCCCTGAACCTTGCCTTATGAATCTCCTCCATCTGACTGTTCCTGAATTTTATCCTTTTTAAAAATAAACCCATAAATTACTAAGTAAGTTTTTTCTGACTTCTATCATCCATTTTGTTAAATTATTAAACTTGAGGGGGAGGTCATGGGAACCTCCAATTTATAGTCAATCATACAGAAGTATGAATGACAACCTGCACTTGTGTCTGGCATCAAAAATGGGACAGTTTTGTGAGACAGAGTCCCTAACTGGTGGAGTATGCACTAAACCCAGGCATTTAGTGTCAGAGCTGTTTAGTGCAGGAAAATGACTGCACATGTACTGACCAAAGTGAAGTGTTAAGAATAAGCCAGAAATAAAAAAAAATAAACTATTGAGGGAAGAAACATAATTTTTCATTTTTAGAGTAGATACAAAAAATAGACTACCAAAGTCCTCAAGGAGAGATTGTTTGGGGAATTAAAACATTTAAGAGCAGTATGGCCCTGGCCAGTGTGGTTCAGTTGGTTGGAGTATCATCCCACAAACCAAAAGGTCATGGGTTTGATTCCCAGTCAGGCCACATGCCTAGGTTGTGAGTTCAGTCCCCAGACAGGGCATGTATGAGAGGCAACCCATCAATATTGTTCTCTCACATCAATGTTTTTCTCCCTCTCTCTTTTCGTCCCTTCTCCTCTCTAAATCAATAAGAATGTTCTCAAATGAGGATAAAACAATTAAAGTTAGTATGTATATGGAAAAATTAAAACAGCCACACACAAGCCCAGAGAAGATGCATGTTAATAAAAGTCCTGAAAGGCTTTAAGGTTTATCCTGAAGATAACAGGAAGGCCCAAAACCAATGCCTCACTAATTAGTGTGGGACTTTCTCAGCACAAAGTCAGTGTGCAAAGAACTTGAAAAGGTGGTTGTTTTTATAAATGCCCAATTTCCAACAACAATAAAATCACAGGGCATACAAAGAGCCAAGAAAATATGGCCCACTCAAAGAAGAAAACTAGTGGCAGAAAGCATCCCTGAAGAAACACAATCATTGAATGCACTAGGCAAAGACTTCAAAATAACAATATTTAATATGCTCAAAAAGCTAAAGGAAAACACAAAGAACTAAAGAAAATATGTAAACAAAGTTATTTTACCAACAGATGGAAGTGCTAAAAATAAACTAAACAGAAATTTTGAAATTGGAATACACGATAAATGACTTGAAAATTTTTCTAGAGGTCTCAACATCATGCATGATCAGAAAAATAAACAATCAGTAAACTTGAAAATAGGACATATGAAATTACCAAGTCTCAGGAGCAGAAGGAAGAATGAAAAAAATGCACAAGACTGAGAAATATGTAGGACACCAAAAACAGACTGATATATGCATTATGGGATTCACAAAAAAGAAGACGGTGGCAGAGACATTGCTTAGAGCAATAATGACTAAAATAATTCCAATGTGGCTCTGGCTAGTGTGGCTCAGTGGATTGAGTGCAGACCTGAGAACCAAAGGGTTGCTGGTTACATTCCCAGTCAGTACATACTCCTGGGTTGCAGGCCAGGTCCCCAATAGGGGGCATGCAAGAGGCAACCACACATTAATGTTTCTCTTCCTGTCTTTCTCCTTCCCACCTTGTCTCTCTAAAAATAAATAAATAAAACCTATTTTTAAAAGAAAAAAAGAATTCCAATGTGATGACAGATATAATGTACAAATGCAAGAAACAGCAACTTCAAGCAGGATAAATCTATGGAATATCTTGATAGCAACAAAGGAGAAGAAAATAGTCACATACAATAAATTATTAGACAATTTCTCAGCAAACAACCTTGGAGGTCAGAGGCAGTAAAATTGTATATTTAAGTGCTAAAGGGAAAAAGAAATCGGGAGCTTCAGTGGCTCAGGCAGTTAGTGTACAGTACTTATAAGGAAAAAGAAATCAATCAAGAATCTATAACCAAGAAAATTGTCCTTCAAAATGAGGTAGAAATTAAGACATTCCCAGATAAACAAAGGTCGAAGGTTTTATTACTACTAGACCTGCCTTACAAGAAACTCTTAAGGAAATCCTTTGGGTTAAAACATAATACACAGCAAATAGAAATCATATAAAATATAAAGATTTCTGGGGAAGGGAAATATATGGGTAAGTAAAACCAGCAATTTGGCTTTGTAACTCCGCTTGTATTTTCTACACTTCTAAAGAGACAGATACATTGAAAATACAAATCTATGTGAATAGACAGTATGCAAAGAAGTAAATAAGGCAGGATGGTAAAAAGCTCAAAAAAGTCCTTAACAAGGGGAATAAGGGAAACTAAGACAAAA